TGTATACTGCCAGACATGTCTCAAACAAAACAAAACAAAACAAAACAAAATAAAACTTAGCTCTTGGCCCGAGGATACAGCTCAGTGGCATAGCACTTGCATAGCACGTGCCAGGCCCTGGGTTCCATTCCCCGGCCTAATAAAAAAAAGAAGCTGAGCTTTCTTCTGCTTTGAATTCCTGCTATCTTGTATTATTTGTAATGGCTGGTATGTTCCTAAAGTCAGCTCTTCAACAAACAATATTATAATGTTCATTTTACATTTTAATTGTTCCTTCCTTAATAATAGGTAATTTTATTTTTATATACCTTCTAGGTTTTTCATATAATTTCATATCTTAATCATAGGGCCAACTGCTACAAATCATATGTTGTAGGCTATTAAGTACTCAATATGTGAATGCTGAATAGCATATGTCTTAAGATTAAAAAATACAGTAATGTTTTTAGAAAAACATCTCCCTGTTATAAGAAAAAAACATGTTACTTCCATGTTTCACAACACTCTGTCTCCAGTTATTTCAAGAAACATCTATATTAATTTATTATAATAAATATATATATTGCTACATTTAGTAGTCTTAGAAGTTTCTGAATCCCTGCCAGGCTGGGCTTGGTAACACAAGCCTGTAATCCCAGTACTCTGAGATGCTGAGGCAGGATTGCAAATTCAAATCCAGCCTGGGCAAATTAACAACTTGCCAAGACCCTGTCTCAAAAATTTAAAAACTGGGGGCAGGGCAAGGACTGTGTAGTATGGGGAAATAGGCATGTGGCTCAGTGTAAAGCCCCAGGATTTAATCCCTAGTACTTCCTCCTCCTCCAAAAGTTGTTTTTTTTTTTCCTGAAACAGGGTCTTCCTATATAATTCAGCCTGGTTTCGAACTCACAGCGATCCTCCTGCCTCAGCCTCCAGTGTACTGGGGTTACCAAGGTGAACTACACCTGGTCCCTAAAAGTTTTAGAATCTCAAGTTAATTCAACAAACATTTAATCAGCATTTATTGTACAACAGGCACTGGGCTGGGGAATATAGAAAAAAGATAACTTTTGTCAAGCAGGGAAAATACAACTCAATTTTGGTAGTTTAAGACTGGACTCACTGTCTGGGAGGTTCACGAGGGAACTTGTTAGAAAGGAAAACTCTCACCAGGCGCAGTGGAGCACACCCGCAACCCCACTAGTCTGGGAGAATGTGAAGCAGGAGGATCACAAATTCAAACCTAACCCGGGCAATTTAGTGAGACCCTGTCTCAAAAAATTAGAAAGGGCTGATGAGGATCTAGCTCAGCGCACAGGCCCTGGGTTCTATCCTCAATACTATGAAAAAAATTCTGGAAGCAGGGCCCAGCTGTCTGTCTATTCATTTATTTCTGAGGCAGGGTCTTACTCTGTAATCCAGGTTGGCCTTGAACTCACTATGCAGCCCCAGTTGGCCTCAGACTCACAGCCATCCTCCTGCCTCAGCCTTCTGAGTGCTTACTTTGGTTTTTTGAGACAGGATCTTGCTTTATATTTCATGCTGGCCTAGAACTCACTCAGACTAGACCAGGCTAGCCTTGACTCAGGTACTCACCATGATCCTCCTGCCTCAGCCGACCTAGTGCTGGGGTTACAGGCATGCACCATCACGCCCCGCTAATCTGTGTTTTTTAACAAGCCCTCTAGGTGATTCTGATGCTTGACTAACTCTCAGAAGCACTGCTGCAGGCAACGGGAAACCTCTAAACAATTTTAAGCAGGAAACTGACACAATAAGATTTGAAATATGTGAGTGATTGCCACTGACCAGTCAAGCACAACACCTGACTCTAAAGTAGTTACAATAAAAATAACTTTTGAGTGAATATTGCATGAAGAGATGATGAGGGCTTAGCCCAGCAATGCCAAACCTTTTAGAGCTTCCAGTGATAACGAACAGCTGGCTGTGGCCTATGTGCCATAGATTCACCACCACTGGCCTAGACTAAGGCAGTAGGAATGGAAAGAGATTTGAGAGATGTTCTACAAGTAACCAAAGTTCAACCAGGTAACTAGGATATATCCTTACAAAGGTAATGCTGAAGTGGTTTTTATATAAAAGCAGAAACCTGCGGGATATAGTTCAGTGGCATAGTGCCTGTCTGACAAGCATGAGTTCATGACTTTGATTTCTGATACCAAAAAAAAAAAAAAAAAACCAGAAAGCTGTAATTTTGTTGAATCTACCAACTGCAAGATTTAAAAAAGGGTTGCATGTAGACCCTAGAAAAAGGGAGGTCAAGGGCAATTTCTATGTGTTTCCATATAGTTAAGAGCAAAGGGTATCTTAGCTTGTGCATGATCCTTCCAGTCTGCTTGGTAGTTCTACTTCTCACTTTAAGTGAGTAAACAGCCATTTGTTGCTAAAATAAATCTTTCGTGAGGTTAGTGGGTATAGTTCAGTCCCTGAGACTGACAGATAGCTTCACAATATACTGACAAAGTTAAATTTCAAACCTGGAAAAGCTAGAGCCCTGACATAAACCTGGTGATCTAACCAAGGCACTGCCAAAGTGAGACTCTGCTAGTCTCCCTTTTTTTACTCTAAAAGGGATCACTAAAATCACACAGCCTGCTTAGTTTAGGAAGAAGCTGGAAGTAGTAAAACAATAGACTTTGTCCTGTGTCCTGAAGGTCAAGAAAGTCAAGTGGAATTGTTATGTCTAATTTTGGATCTAGGATTTAGCTGAGGCCGTCTTCAATTTCTTGTAGAGTAAGAGAGGTACAGGGCAACCTAGATGGGTAATTCACCTAATGAGAGTTTTGGGGGGTAAAATTCCAATTTATCACAACTCTGGATAGCTGCATGTTCTTTTTACTTGATATCAATATCTTATTTGACCAAGTTATTTTGTCCAAAAACAGTTCTCAATCAAAATCTACACTGTTTTAGGGAACTTGTGAGCTATAGGGGACCTTGGAAGCAAAAACCTTCATGTTACAGACGAGGAAAGCGAGGGCTGCACGGTGTAAATCACTCAATGTATTTATTGTAAGGCAAGATTCTGTAGCATGCTGCAAGGTGGAAAAACAAGATTCAGGGCAAAACTAGTGATTTGCTTCTTTGCTAACTTTTTGGAACTATTTTAAATTTCTCTATTTACTATCTTGAATGTTTTTAAAAATAAAAATAATAGTAGCAAATTACTTTATTGAGCTAATAAGGAATGGAGCAGAATTTCTTTCAGTTTCTTAATTGCTTTGTTTTCAGAAAAATGGAATTAAATGTAAGAACCTTCTGAGAAAAAAAATTAAGTATAAAAATTTGGGGAAGAAAATGGAAGACACACGCATTACTTTTTGTTCTACTTTCTATCTTCGCTCATAAAGGGGTAAGTTTATGTAGTGAATACTGGCCATTATCTTTAATTATATATTACATGTAAAGAAAATCTATCACAATTACTCTTTACATATTTGAAAAATTTCCAAATATTCTAGTATTTGAGTAAACCTGTGGTTTTGAGAGTCCTAGAAATGCTTCAGGCTGGGCGTTGTGGCGCATGCCTGTAATCACAGCACTCAGGAGGCTGAGGCAGGAGGATCGTTGGGAGTTTGAGGCCAGCCTGGGCTACAAAGTGAGCTCAAGGCCAGCCTGAACTGCATAGCGAGACCTTGTCTCAAAAAGGAAAAAAAAAAAAAAAGAAATGCTTCAGAAACTAGTTTAAACTCACATTCTATTTGGGTTTTTCCACGTGAACAACTTGAAAGATGCATTTGGCCCAGTTTCCTGTTTTTCCAAACTTTCAAACTGCTTTACACCAAATATATGTGTAATCTAAAAGTTCAGTGTCCACCTTGCTCAGTTTATTGAATATACTTTATAGGCAAAGAAATGTCAGTACTTAGAGGAAGTGTGAATAAGATTTTCATCATCAAGAATGTATTAAACCCCATGTGTGCCTTGCCTGAAAAAGTAGGATTTGCCCTTCTGCCTGGAATTCACATTAAGAACACAATGCAATGCATTTCGAAAGAACAGAACTGCTTTTCACACAAAATCCGAAGGATCCACTTTTTCAGTTCATGTCCTTTTGTTTCCCTCAAATTTCACTTAAATATTTGCCCCCCCCCCTTTGTTCCCCATGAGAACCCTTTCATTCTGCTGGGACAGAAATGCTACTTCAGTGCGAGAGGACAGATGTCAGTTACTTTCCTCAAGGGGGAAACCGCAAAACATTGATTAAGGGCTGGAGCACCGAGGAGGGAGTAGAAAACGTCGTGCAAAGACTTCAGCCCACCTGATTGGGGCCCAGCCTTTCCAGCCCTGGTCCTCACACCGGCCGGCTCCATGTGAAACCGGTCATGTGAGCCTGTTTACAGCCGAGCAGCTGCTGCAACCGTCGGGATCGTGCGGAGGTCCGGGGAGGGGGAAGGATACAGGCCACATCCCCCATCCCATTCCCCATTTTTCGGAGAATGCTTGCCCTCTCCTTCCCTGCCTCACCACCCCACTTTCATCTCCCCCCAGCCAAAGCGAGCAGAGCTAAAGCCATTCCGGGACATCTCGCTCCAGCACCCCCCCCCTCCATTTCCTTCCACTTGATCGCTGGGGGACCGGCCGGACTGGAGGGAGGGGGAGGACAGTGTCACCGCGGACAGGGAGTGAACCTCCCTCCCCCAAGCCCTCCTCATAACACCCGCGGAAGAGTTGTCCCTGGAGCCACATCTCCGGAGCAAGCGAACTCCGCCGGCAGCCCCGGGAGCTCCCCCGCCGGCCCCCGCCGGGCCAGAGCGCGCCAGACGCTGCGGCCGCCAGCCACGGACGGCGGGGCCACTGACAGACGCGGACAGGGCAGAAAGGAGCCACTTGTGCCTCCTCCCCACCACCCACCCGCATCCCGGCGCCCGCCGTCAGCCGCCGAGCCGAGCCCCGCTCCTGGGTCTGGGTTACTCTTTCGGCGGGGGCTCTCGGCCACGTAACTTCCACGTTCTGCCCAAGTGGGAGGAAGTGGGGTGACGGGACACTGGGGGACTCACCTCCGCAACATCGGCACCTCTGAAAGCTGCTGCGACTGTTCCTCTGCCCCTTTGTCAGCGTCTCCAGGCTGCACTGCCTGCTGGGATACCGGAGGACTCAAATGCCACCTCTCCCCGCCCTGGAGGATGAGTCGCGGCCGGGAGTGGGTGGGAGGAGGGAGCGGAGGCGGGGCCAGGGGCGGGGCTTCGGTGCTGCCACCTGGCCTGGCCTGTCAGAGTTTCTTCCTTCTTTCTCACCGCTCCAAACTTCTTTCTTCTTCTGTCCTGTGACCTACCCTTCCTGTCCATCCACCCCTTGAGGGAACTGGAGAGCTCACAGAACGTCATCCCTCTGCCCTTGTTAGGCGTCACCCTCGATTCCTGCCCTGATCCACTCCCCTCCCCCACCCCATAGGCACCAAATGAGGACCCAGGGTTAGTTGAGTCTACCTGTGAGATATGTTTTGTTGACCCTTGTTCTTTTTCCTTTGCACTCTCTGCCCACTTCAACTGCCCAGCCTCTATTTAGGTCACATGACTTTTTGCTTGGACTACTGCAGTAGCTTCCTCTTTAGACTCTCTACTTCTATTATTGCCTCCCTCCACTGTCCAGACAGCAGCCAGAGGGCTCTAAGGTGTATATGTGGCTCTGTTATTCTGCTGAAAGCCTTTCAGGCTCAACTGTACCTATAACCTTTTAGCATGGTACAGCAAGGTCTGTTTAGCAAAGTCCTCTACAATCCTTTCCTGATGTACCTGATTCTCTGGTCCAATAAACTAGGCATCCATGAAAGACAGTGGGGCTCCGGGCAATTCACCCAGCATTGGTTGCCCCAAATACTTCTCTAAAGGATGCTGCATTGTCAGTAACTTCCACAGGCCTCTTGGGATATTATTAAAGATTGACTTTTCAAAATTAAAATGTAATCATGATAACCAAAGAAGAGTAAAATGCAATGGCCACAGGTTTCCTCTGTGTAAATATAAGACCTAAAGAATTTGCCCTGGACTGAACACGGTGGTGCACGCCTGTAATCCCAGCTCTCCAGGAGGCTGAGGCAGGAGGACTGTTGCAAGTTCAAGACCAGCCTGGGCTACAAAGTGAGCTCAAGGTGAGCCTGAACTGCATAGCAAGACCCTGTCTCAAAAAAACAAAAACAAAACAAAACAAAGCAAAACAAAAACCCCACCAACAAGAATTGGCCCTGGTCTCTCCACCCAAGCAATGGGTTGTCGGTAGCTGTCCCCAAGGCTCAGGTTTCTGATACCTGTGCTCATAGATAGCACTTTATAATGTGTTTGCCTGTCTTTTAAGCCTATCCTTTAAGGCTGAATGGAAATGCCATTTGCCCCATTAACCTTCCAGAACTCCTGCTCCTTCACTGTAGAACACTGCTTATTCTGCTGTGCAAGTCTTCCTGACATAGGTAATCACTAGTCATGTATGTCTTCCTTTCTCTCCTGCCTAGTCTGTGCATACTTCAGAACTAGCTCATAGCTCTCAGTACAACGCCTGGTCCAGAAAAGATATGAATACAATTTAATGAAATGAAATCCATCATCTCCACTACATTAGAGGCACTAAGGAGGCCCAGAAAAGATTCCAGGCAAGGGCTCGTGTGACAGTCACCTTCCGTTCACTAGGACGTTCCAATCTTGACCTGGCTGCGTGTCACTTTTGAAAATACAAACTGGTTAGGCAGCAGAGTGTTGCAAAAGGACCAAAGCTTGCACTTCCCTTGCAGGTTGGACTGGTTTGTGGTACAATATGTGGTTGTGGCAGATGTAGCTGGGATAGCTCATATGAGAATCCAGTGTAGAAGAAGTGTATAGTGCCATAAAAATAGTGCGCTTCCAAATGGAAACTCTTATCTTCTGGCTTCGGGAGGCTTTTGACTCCTGTCTGGTTTAGGCTGCCTCTAGGTTCCACATCCCTTCAGACCTTGCACATTACCTGTGTCATAAGGTATTCTCTTGAAAAAGAGGGCACTTTGCCATTCTCGGTGGCACATGGTTGAAATCCCAGCTACTCCAGCTGCTGAGGCAGGAAGATTGCAAGGCCAAGGCCAACCTGGCACACTTACTGAGACTGTGTCTCAAAATAAACTTTAAAAATTTAAAAAGGACTGGGAATATAGTTCAGCAATAGAGCACTTGCGTAGCGTACATGAGGCTCTGGGTCCAATCCCCAGTACCACTATTATAGAAAGTAAGTTAGGTAGAAATATTACAGTCAATCAGACAGGGCTAGGCCCTCGGGGGAGTGAGTACAGAAGATGAGAACACCTCAAAACCATGACTGGAGGCTCATTTGAAGAAGACTAAAATCACAACTGCCAGATTTACATACCTCCCTAAGAGATTAATAGAACTTTGAGATTATTGGTACCATGCTCTTGAGATTTCTCACATATATAAACCATTATATCATTAGGGATGGGCTATCCTCTCCCACTCATTAAGACTAGGACTACTAAGACTATAGATTATCGATCAAGGTTAATATACAGATGATAGATCAAGGTTAATATGTCATCCATATATGCTTGCTATGTGACCTACTTCCCACTGGATTGATATTACCTAAACAGTTATGTTATTGGTTGAGCATAGTTTTCTTTTTCGTTTGTTTTTATTTTTATTTTTATTTTTATTTTTTTTTTCAGACAGGGTCTAGCTATGTAGTTCGTATTGGCCTTGAGTTCACTGTGTAGCCCTGGCTGGCCTTGAGCTCACAGCAATCCTCCTGCCTCAGCCTCCTGAGTGGTAGGATTACAGGCCTGCACCACCACAACTGGCTTGATCCTAGTTTGGGCCCACCTTATACTTACATCATGATCTTGCTCTATAAAACTTCCTTTGAGAAGCAGGCTCATTGGCAACCCATTTGGAACCCCTCCTGCTTCTCAGCAGCTATTGCTCTTCCCTATTCTTTTTCCTCAATAAAGTTTCCTACTCTTAACCTCTGTTCCTTAGAATTCATTCTTTGGAGATGACAAACATGGTGTATCAAACATCTAGCAGACTGGGAGTTACATGGATTTCTCCTCTATCATTTAGTGGTCTTATATCACCACCATCACCAAAAAAAGTAGACATTTTTCTTTACTGATTGTTCTTGCATCACTTAAGGTACATTGGCTTTCTTTCTAAATTTGTTTGTTTTTCGCTTTTGTGGTACTAGAGATTGAACCCAGGCCTTATGCCTGCTAGATGAATACTCTACCACTAAATTTTTCCCCCAGGTCATTTTTTATTTTTAAAGATTTTCATATAGGATCTTGCCAAGTTGCCTATGGTGGCTTTGAACTCACAATCCTGCTTCATTCTCTTTTGTAGCTGGGATTCCAGGCATGAGCCCCTGCATCTAGCTTACTTTCTCTCCAGATATATTACCAGCATACTATGGCAGGGTTTCCTCATCCCTGAAACAGGGACAGGAATCTTTGGCCTACACAGATGAGCAGGCTCTTAGGAGGTTTTAATGCAATAATGTATATGAAACAGTGTAAACTATAGGATGCTTTTCAAGCATGAGGTTTGTTGTGTTACCACACTTTGAAAAAATTCTTAGTGTTCTTTGAGTGTTTTATACTTCATCTTGGTAACCAAGGGGCTTTATTGGAAATTCCTGGTGATAATATTTTGATTCATGGTTTCCCAAATTTGCCTAAGGATAAGAATGGCCCAGAGCTCCTTCCCCCCTCTTTATGTAGCCCAGGCTAGTCTGCTTGAAGTGATCCTCCTGCCTCAGGCTCCTGAGGGCTGGGCGAATAGGTGTGTACCACACTATGTGGCTCTTTTTTCTTTTTTTTATGAGACAAAATCTCCATATGTAGTTCAAAATGGCCTTAAACTCATGGTGATCCTCAGACCTTAGCCTCCTGAGTACTGAGTGTTAGGGTTACAGGTGTGTGCCACCACATCCAACCCTGGAGCCTTTCTTTGGAGAATTTTGTTGTTGGTGGTGGTTTTTTGTTTTTGAAACAAGATCTCACTCTGTAGTTCAGGTTGGCCTTGAACTCACTATATAGCTTAGGCTGGCCTCGAATTTGCAGGGATCCTCCTGCCTCAGCCTCCCGAGTGCTAGGATTACAGTCATGTGCTACCAGGCCTGGCCCTAGAGCTCTTGTTACAAACAGATTCCCAGACCCAATTTCAGACCTTCTCAATATAAATTTCTACAAGAAAGACAAGAAGTTGGGTGTATAATCTATAATCTCAGCACTTTTGGGAGGCTGAGGCAGGAGGACTACAGTGAGTTTGAGGCCAGTCTGGGATACACAGTGAATTCAAGACCTGCTTGTACTACATAGCCAGACCCTGTCTCAAATGAATAAATAAGTGAAAGAAAAAAAGAGAGAAAGAAAGACAAGAGCAACAGTACAATTGAGAATAACACCAGGTGGATCATCCTAGGGCAAGTGAGGAAAACTCTACTATAGCCAGTGATTCACATATCAAATGAATTCACTTAGGATTCTTTCTGAGAAAAGCCTTTTGGATAAGAAGAAATCAAAACTGTGGAGCAAAGCTTAGAAGGAAGCACCAGGAGGGCAGAAAAATTTTAGTAAAATTGTGCCTGCAGCTAGTAGAGGCAAAGCCTTCTTTTGAATTTCTTTGACCTTGCTCTAAACTCTTAAGAGTCTGGCCCCAGGGGATGTATGAATTGCAGCTAATCAATTTAGCAGCTGAAGCCAAAGTGTTAAATGGAGGTCTTTACTGGCTCAGCCTAATTGGCGATATTCCAAAAATTTCTCGGTGCCACAATGGCTTTGACTAACAAGGCTCCCGTTAGATCCCTCTTTTCAGACTTCTTTCATAGCATAAATACTGTGCTGTCATTGTTTTTCCTCTTTGTTTCTTGGGCAGTAAGGACTGGAATTGGTCTCTTCCACCTTGGTGTGCCTGGGCTTTGCGTTGTGCCTGATATACTGTGGGTACTTGTGTTGACCTTTGCAACTGTCTGCTCACTGTCTGCTTCACGGACTTGCCTGGGAGCTTCTTGGGGACAGCCACAGCTCAACTTTGTACTTCTCCTCGTGTCCTAGCCTCATGCCACACAAATGCTACCATTCAGGTACGGTCCTAAATCCTTGTCAGCCACTTTAGGAAAATTGCAGAGTTCAGTGGCTAGTGCCCCTGGCAATCACGAGACTAGG